CAGAACTGCCCAAGGCTGCACTGTGCTTCCCTTCTGCTCAGAATAATGAGAGAAAGGATGGGACAAATACTTGTCTACAAGGGAAGAGGAGGAGCAGGTGTGAGGGCTTTGGGCGGGAGCCAGGGGCGGTGCTGATGCCTGTGCTCTTCCCTTGCAGGGAGGAGATGTACTACAAGGCTGTGCACAACACAGCCGTCCTCTTCCTGCAGAACAGCGCCGGCTTTGCCAAGTGGGAGCCCACGCCGGAGCGGCTGCAGGAGCTCGTTGCAGCCTACAAGCATTCGGGCCGAACCCTCAGCTCCTCGTCTTCCTCCTCCTCGTCCTCATCCTCCTCCTCCTCCTCCACAGCGGACAAAGAGCGGGAGCTGGGCCGAGAGCAGAGCAGCAGCCGAGAGACTAATCCCAACTAAGGCAGAGGTGCGAGGCAGCAGGGGAGGTGCCGGTGGCCCCGGGGGAGGCTGGCCGGGGCAGCAGAGACTGCTGGCTGCGCAGCACGGCCTGGGACTCCTGCGCAGCAGCTCCATGGCACCCGCTCTCCTCTGCGAACTGCACGCCAGCCCCCAGGAGCCGGGAGCGTCCGGCGGCCGGTGGGAGAGGAGGCTCAGCCACGGCCCTCAGCAGGGCAAGGGAGCCCAGCGTGGCGCAGCAGGAGGAGCCGGCAGCTCCGCGACGCCGGAGCGCCGAGGGAAGGGACGGCCAGAGCTGGGACGCGCGCGTGGGCAGGCAGAAGGACGGTGGAACAGATGGAGGGACGGATGGCAAGCGCGAGTGCTGGGCGCTGAGCGCCGCGGCCGGAGGGGCCCCGGCAGGAGAGGGACGGGCAGAGCCCGGGGGCTCCTGCGGCCGGGCTGGCCCCAGCACGGCTCCGTGTCCATAGTGTAAATAGTTCTGTCTGTGGCGCCCACGCTCCTCGTGGGGCTGCTCCCATCGCATCTGTGTTTCTTTCTCATGTGTGAGTCCTGTGTTCGCTGACATTGTGTCCTGGAGAGGGGAGGAGCAGAGGAGAAGAGTTTCTTTGGTGTGTAAAGATGTCTTTGCAGCTGTTTTGTAGTCATTGTGGTTTTTATGCGGAGCCTCCGGGCTTTATTTAACCTCCTTGGGTTTTGTTTTGTAAGGATTAATTTAACACCGCTAACCATTTTATTACTTTTATCAAGAAGAGCAAAATCTATTTTTGATTTCTGTTTCCTAGTTCTTAGGAACATTAAAACCAGCATACAGCTCTGCTTGTGTCCATGACTTAACTTCTTTGGTGTATGGGGTCTGTGCTTACCACTGTCTGGTCTCTTCCTGGGTGGAAGGTAGAAAAATTTGGGGTTTGATTTTTCAGAACTGTCTGACATCTGCCCTTTTTCAGGCCTCCTGGTGAGGGAGGCATTTTTTCCTAATGACCAGTGTGAGCCCCTGAAGCAGCCTGACTGCCCCACTGCTCCAGTGAGGTTTTGGTGTTCTCCCATTGGAGAAGTGCACTCAGACTCCAAGTGCCTTTGGACTCATTGGGGCAGGCAGCACAGCCAACCTCTCCTGTGCGGTACCACAACACTGCTGGTGCTGGACCAGTGTCAGTGCCACAGCAGCGACAGTGCCACCCTGAAGTGGGCAGGAATTGCCCAGCACCAGATGCTTCCTACTCCCAGAGGCTTCAAAGCTCTCCAGAGATGCTTTTGATGGTGGCAAGGAGATCATTGATGTCCTTTAAGTCAGGGCAGTTGGGAATGTCAGCTGTGAATGTGGCACTTTATAAAGCCTTTTTTTCCCCCTTTAATCATTGTTTTTGACCCAAGACCACCTGCTCCTGAGGCACAGGTGAGCAGAGATGTGCTGATGCTGGGAGTGTCCATCACCCAGCCCTTGGTCAGTCAGTGCACCCTGAGCCCTTTGCCTGCTCCCTCAAGTGAGGTACAGTTACCTGGTTAAGTATCCAGTGGCTGTGGTCTCACAGGGATGTGTAAGTGACATCAGTGGCCAGAAGCCTGGTGGTGTGGGCTGCTTCTCGAGTCTCCTCTATCCTGACAGAGCAAGAGATGGTCAACGGGACACATCAGGTTGACACTGGGGCATATCAAGGGCAGATAACCAGGACTAGATCAGTCTGTGAGGGTCTGTGGTGTGAGGGGCAGCTATGAGAGTTGGTAGCAGTGGGTGGTACGGGCAGGACTGGGGGCAATGATGCACACCAGGAGCTGAAGCCCTCGCATAAAAGCTCTGTCAGGCTGTACTAAACCTGGACAATTTCGACAAAAAGGCCCTCACTCCCATTGTCCCTGTAGTGGGCAGTGCTGCCACTCTCCTGTCTGGAGGGAAGGAGGGGATCCCTGAGTGCTTTTGTCCCCAAGGGCTCCTGGAAACGCCCTGTAAGGGCAGCAGCTGGGGGAGGATTTGACTGGGCTTGGGAAACACAGCCTGCAGTGTAGGATTTGCAGGACACTTGGCTGTGCCACCCTGAACCTGTCAAGTGCTGTGTCCCCCGAGTGCCCCCGACTCGATTCCCCGGGGATGCTGAACCCCAAACGCCGCTACCGCAGGCCCCACGCCGGGAAGGAGCATCCTCAGGGCTGACCGTGAGCGGGGAGCCCTGGAGTACCGGGAGCCGCACCGATGCCGCACCAAACCCTGCACCGACCCCTGCGCCTGCCCCTCAGCAGCCGGCGGGGCCCGGTTCTGCACGAGGGGGCTCCGCAGGGCTCCAGCACGGCCCGTCCGAGCTCCCCCTCGTTCCCCGCTCCCCGTTACCGGGCCAACGCCGCGGCGCTGCCGGCGGCCCCTGCGCCGTGCTCGCCCCCGCAGCGCGGCGGGCAGCGCCCCGCGCCTCCCCCCATGGGGCTGCCGGGCCTTCGCCCGCCGCCGCGGAGCCCACCGGTGCCACCGAGCCCGCCGGCGGCGGGGACCGAGCCGCCGCTGTGTCCCCGCCGGGAGCTGCAGGTACGGCAGAGGATGCGGTGCGGGCCGGGAGCGGGGGCGGGGAGTACGGACCGAGAGCGGCTCGCCCGGGGAGCGGGTGCGGGGTGGGGGGGTCCCCGCCGCCGGCACAGCCGGTGTTCGGAGCCATCCCGGGGCCCCCGGGAACCCACACGCACCGAGAGGGCCAGAGATGTGTCCGGGAGCTGCCCTTCCACTGGGCCGGCCCCTGGGAGCGATTTTTTCCCCGCAAAGCAGGGGCGGGATGACGGCGAGTCCCAGCGCCGGTGGCACCGGGCTGGGGCTGGAGTCGCGGTCGGGAGGGGGCTGTCGCCACCACTGTGCTCTCGCTGCCCCGCTCTCCCACCGAGCCCCGGGCTCTGACCGGGACAATGGCCACGGCATGCGGCGGCGCTGGGACCCCACGCGTGGGAGGCAGCGGGCCCGGGGCCTGCCCTCAGCCCTGGCTGACAGCGGTGCCCCCTCCCTGCAGCCCGGACAGCCCCCAGCAGCCCCCCAGGAGCATGGCCCAGCCAGAGAGCAAACTGGTGTCCCCGCCGGTGGCACCCTCGTCCCCCGAGCTGGAGTGCCACATCTGCTACAGCCACTTCGACGCCCGAGCCCGCAGGCCCAAGCTGCTCCGCTGTGGCCATCGCCTCTGTGCCCGCTGCCTGCGCAGGATTGTTCCCCCGGGGGATGCTTCAACCCCCCAGCTCCGTTGCCCCTTCTGCCGCCAGCACAGCCCGGTGCCGGGCGGGGACGTGCAGCAGCTGCAGGATGACGGTGAGGCACTGGCACTGCTGACAGGCCGTGAACGGGCCAAGAAACGGGGTCCACCCCTATCTCCTGAGGTACTCCTTTGCCCCAGCGTGCTGGAGCCCACATCCAGCCCCGACTGCCTGGTTGTCACCATCCTGGAGGTTCCAGAGGACGTAGCCCCACCAGAGAGCCTGGGCAGGCTGGAGGTGGTGCGGCTGTACCGCCCCACGAGCCTGGGTGCCCTGCCCTGCCACGGCCCTGGGCAGAAGTGGCGCTCCTGGGGGTGGCAAGCCATCCCCCGCTTCATTCTGGGCGTCCTCTGCCTCCTCTACTTCAGCTCCCTGCCCTTCGGCATCTACCTCCTGCTCATCGAGCACCACAGCCTGGGCATCATCCTGGTCAGTCTTGTGCCCTCCACCCTCCTTCTCTGCATTGTCTACAGCCTCTGCCAGTGCCTGTGCCTGGAGGTCTTTGGGTTCCCCCACTCCTGACCCTGCACAGCCAAACCCTGTGCCTGAGCCAGGCAGGATTTGGGTTCCTTGGGGCATTGTCCCTTGAGGTACACATGTCCTCTGACCCACAGCATGCTGCGCCTGGACCATGGGGAGAAGCTCAGTGCCTGGTGCCTTCCCACACAGAACAGCACTGTCTTTTCCATGTGGGTGCTCACACTGGCTGGAATGGCTGCAGGAGCTCATTGCAGCCTCCAAGCATTTGGGCCAGACCTCAGCTCTTGTCCTCCTGCACAGCAGACAAAGAGCAGGAGCCAGGACTCTGATCCCAGCTGAGGAAGCGCCGCGGCCGGAGGAGGCCCCGGCAGGAGAGGGACGGGCAGAGCCCGGGGGCTCCTGCGGCCGGGCTGGCCCCAGCATGGCTCCATGTCCATAGTGTAAATAGTTCTGTCTGTGGAGCCCACGCTCCTCGTGGGGCTGCTCCCATCGCATCTGTGTTTCTTTTTCATGTGTGAGTCTCGTGTTCGCTGACATTGTGTCCCAGAGGGGAGGAGTGGAGGAGTTTCTTTGGTGTGTAAAGATGTCTTTGCAGCTATTTTGTAGTCATTGTGGGTTTTTTTTTTGCACAGCCTCCAGTCTCTATTTAACCTCCTTGGGTTTTGTTTTGTAAGGATTAATTTAATACTGCTAACCATTTTATTACTTTTATTAAGAAGAGCGAAGTCTATTTTTAATCTCTGCCTTGGACCTGCCCTGCTCCACAGGGGCTGCTCTCTGCAGCACTGGCAGTGAAGTTACCCTACCATCTCTGCTGGCATCCCTGCATCCCTACCAGCATCCCTGCCAGCATCCCTACCAGCATCCCCACCGCACACAGTCAACACCAGGAGACCCAGGACAGAGTCACATTTATTACTGTTTTGTGTTCCTCCCACCCGCATCTCCCACTCTCCTTGTTGAGGCAGCTGCTGGGCTGTCTCTCCAGTCATGCCCTTGGGGACAGGACATGACTGTCCCAGTCCTATACCTGCTTCAGCACCACTGGCACCCCGGGGAGACACTCGCTGTTGCTGGGTGAAGATTCCAGCATCTCTGCCACACTCCAGATCTTGGGTTTCTGGGGCTGCTTGTCCTGTCCAGGGGCTGTCATCACCTCGGGGCTGCCCCCACACCCATCCTGCACGGGGCTGGAACTGGGAATGGGGACAGCACCCGATGGGACCCCCTCTCCCTCGCTGTCCTCTCCATCTGAGGCGCTCTGTGTGGCCCAGCTCGCCTTTTTCTCCTTCTTGAGGCGCCGGCGGGCATTGGCGAACCAGGTGGAGACCTGGGTGAGGCTCATCCGGCTGACCACAGCCAGCATCACCTTCTCCCCCTTGCTGGGATAGGGGTTCCTGGGGTGCCGTGCCAGCCAAGCCTTCAGTGCCCCGGTGCTCTCCCGCGTCGCCGCCGCCTTCGCCCGCCCCGGCTCTGTGGGCAGCCCCAGCGGCACCTCAAAGGGTGCTGAGACCTGGAGGGGCACAGGGGTGTCAGGGTGGGACAGAGGGGCACGACGGCCAGAGGAGAGGGGCTGTGGGATGTCAGAGCTCGGCCCTTTGTGTGTGGGAGAGGGCAGAGCTGTACCCTGCCCGTATCCTGCCATATCCCCCGTTTTCCTCTCCCATGCGCACCCAAAGTGCCAAGTGCAGGACGGTGTGTGTGTGGGGGAGCAGGGGAATGCCGGGGAGGGGCAGCGCCCTCGGGACAGCAGGTCCCCAGCCCCGTCTCCAACCACCCCACACAGTCCCATCCTGGTCCCAGGAAAGCCCCGCATCCCGTTGTTCCTCCCCCGGAGCTGCAGCGCGGCACTTACCAGGGGCGTCACGAGGCTGAGAGGGGGTGGCAGGAGGCTGTACCCGGCCAAAATGGGACAGGGACAGGAGTAGGGGTAGGGGCAGGGCAGTAGGGCTTGGGGTTGCCCCCGCAGGGTCCCCCAAGGCCCCACGCAGCCCCCCAGCTCTTGTCCCGGGCTCCTCTCGCCCCGAGGTGCTGCCATACTGCAGGAGAGGAGCCGGGGAGCTGCTCCCAGGTCTTTTATAGCTGCTGGGGTCTGCAGTGACTGACAGCTGATTAGGGGGTATTAGCACCCACGAGAGCAGCAGCAGGATCTGGGGCACCTGATACCCCCCCTTCCCCAGCTACTGTTGGGCAGGGACTTGCAGCGACCGTCCTTGCCTGCCTGCCACCAGCCAGAACCCTGGTCCTTCCCAGCCCCCCAGCTCAGCACAGCCTATGCAGCTCCCAGGGATGGGGTACAATGGCACCCTGGGGCTGGCACATGGGGCTCACCGAGGGCCCCAAGGACACCCAGAGCCACAAACACACACCCCAGCTGGGGCTTTACTGCAGTGCTGAGCTCTGTCCCATCCATGACCGCAGCCCTGACCTGGGGCTGTGGGTGGCAGAGCCTCCTGTGCTGTGGAAGGGTGGGTTGGAGGGCCAGGGGCTGGTGGAAGAATTATAGCCTGGTGTGAGGACAGCAACCCATGCTGCCCCATCCTGCTTGTCCTCTGGCTTGGCCAGGTCCTCACCCAAGCCCCAGCACTGCCATGCCTGCCACTGGATTCCCAGCAGCAGAGTGACGAAGGGGAAGGGTTCCACAGCCCCATGGACAGTGGGGACCCCTGCAAGGCACTGGGGGGTTCCTGTGGTTGGCACAGCAGGGCAGTGGGTGGGCAGGGCAGTGGTGGGCAGCTGTGTGAGGGGCCCCGAGAGCCCACGACCCCCTGAGCCACCTGCTCCTGCCACCACGCCTCCCCACTAAGACTGGGATTATCCCACAGGTTGTATCCGTCATTAAATACCGACTAATAACGCTCTCAGGATATTAAATATGTAACAAACCCGCTTAGCGCTGGCCAGGACAGGAAGGCGAAGGTCACCGGTGCTAATGAGCCCGGCCACATCCCTGGATCCCTGCAGGCCCTGGTGACAGCAGAAGGTCCCAGGGTGAGGTGCCAGCACTCAGAGATCCCATGCCCCTGCACTACCCCGTGGCCAGAACCTGAGCAGCACCTGGAGCTCCCAACATAGAGCAGCCAGAGCTCTGGTCCCATCCATCCCACAGTGGGCTGATGGTGTGCTCTGGGCAGCCACAGGTGTGGCAGCCTCAAGCCAGCCAGGACACTGGTACTGCTGGCTGGGACCAGCCCTGGCCATGGCCCTGCGGTGGTCCCATAACCTTGTCCCCACGGGACTCGTCCAGCCCTAATCAGCACCGTGGATCTGCTTGATTAGATAATGGGGCTGTAATCTAGGAAAGCGCCTGCGGATTGCGCGCAGCACCCTGACCCTGCACAGCACAGCTGGAGAGGGAGGGCCCCGCCGGCCGCCGGCACAGCAGGCGGACACAGCTGGAACCGACCGAGCCACAGACCGAGCCACAGCCCTGCAGGCACAGCCACACACCGCGCACAGGCAAGGCTGGTGTGAAGGCAGCGGGACGGAGCCACAGCTGGGACAGCCCCATCAGCCGCAGCCACCTCGGGGGAGGTGTGGGGCCACCCACTGCTCACTGCCCTGGTGGTCCAACCCTAGGCAGGTAAATCGGCCTAGGGTTAGAGATGGTCCCAAGGAAAAAGCTGTGGAGGCAGCCATGTTGTGGCAGTTTTGTGCTCACCTTGGGATGCCTTTTGCAGCTGCAGTGTGCCTGGAGCTCGGGGCTTTCTGCTTTAAAAACCCTAACCCTAGGCGTAACCCTAACCCTAGGCAGGTAAATCAGCCTGGGGTTAGGGATGGTCCCAAGAAAAAAGCTGTGGAGGCAGCTATGGCGTGGCAGTTTTGCAGCCCTGGTGTCACCACCCTACCCTGCATGAGGGCAGGGAGAGCCCCACAGAGATCACCCTGCCCCCGAGGGGCTCAGGCTTCACAGGGGCTCTCACTGAGCCAGGGTGGTTCCTGGCCTTTTTCCCCTCCGTGGATAATCAGTTTAATGCAGGAGCAGAGAACTAAATCTCTGCGATTAGCTGTTATAATCACATGTAAATAGGCCCAGACAAGCCGCTCAGGAGGGTGGTGTGTGGCTCGGGACAGAGTTACACGGGATTTAGGCTGTTTACCACTCGATTAATTTCATGACTCCAGCCCCCAGCCCACCGCTGTCCCAGCTGCCTGGCTCGCTGCTCAGGAGTCAAGGTCACTCGGGCGGGAGGCAGCTGATAGCCCGGGGTGTCTGCCAGCAGCCAGCGGCACAGCACAGTGCTGGGCACAGTGCTGAGGGCCTCAGCTCCAGGGCCAGGCCGAGGCTGGGCTGTCACATCCCTGGCCCATGGACCCCCAAGCAGGCACACATGGCTCTCCATCCCTTTTTATTCATAAGCATAGTCAAAGCTTGAGAATGTCACAGCTGAATCCTCCAACAACCACCAGCGGATTAACACAAGAGTCCATTCCTCTTCAGAAGAAAAATAGAGCATCTTCTGCCTCCTTCTCCTTGGGTTCCCTCCAGTCCAGAGCCCTGCTGCTGCCTGCCTGCAGGCTGGAGATACCACAGGAGGGCTGGCTGCTGGCACACTGGGACCACTGGCCCCATGGCTGCGGGGAGCAGTGACTGTGGCTGCACACACCTCATCTCTGACACTGCACCACACACAGTTGTGCCCAGCCCTATGGCTTCCCCAGGACCCCCATGTGCTGGGCAGATGCTGATCCATGCCTGCCCACACAGACAGTTCAGGAAAAGGGGTTTCAGACCATCCAGTGCAACAGGCAAAGAGACTGTCCACACAAGGGCTGCTCCTGTGGCTGCTGAGCAGTCCCTGGGGGGAGGTGCAGGACCCCCATGGCACAGGGCCGAGCGGCAGCGTGTCCCCGGCTGTGTCTGTGCCACCACGGCTCAGGTGTGTCCCTCGCAGCCCCGGCACAATAAGGCAACTGCTGGCTGGGGTGGCTGCTGCCAGTGCACGGTGCAGGGTGTGCTGCTAGTCCGACAGCGTGATCACATCGTAGTGGATGCCCGGCTGCAGCTGCTGCATCTGCTCTGCTGCTGCCTCGGTGGTGAAGACACCCTGGGCCTGGGCCATGGCCGCATCCGCCACTGCTGCAGGGGAGGGGGGTCAGTGCTGCCTCCCACCGAGGGCAGGGGGAGCCACTGCCTACTCAGGGCTCCCCCTCCATGTTCCTCACCTGTCCCTGGGAAGGGACAAAAGGCCACCCTGCCCGTGTGGGGCTCCAGCAGGGAGCCCAGCTCTGCTTTCCCCTGTTCCACAACTGACAGGCAGGGAGCAGCAAATATCCTTGGACACCATGGCTGGCAGCGAAACAGTGATCGAGCCTGGTCTTCCCAGCCCTCCCACCAAGGACTGCTGCACAATTTGCTGCCAACCCCAACAGGACTGGCACCCTCCTAAACCTGGGAGGACAGACCCTTCTGGCACAGGGCTGTGCTAGTACCTGAGACAGCCGAGTGTGCTGCTGCTTCCAGCTGTGCCTGGGTGACAAGCTGCTGCTCCGGTGACACAGGCATGTACTGGATCTACAGAGGGGAGAACAGGGAATGCCTGAGGGGAGGATTCCTCCTGGAGCTGCTCTAACCATGGCTGCTGCACTCAGGCACGAGCCATGAGCTCCCTCTATTTCACATATCCCTGTCCACCTGCAGGCTCAGAGCCTCCAGCTCCTGCCGCCAGGCCTGGCTCCTTACCTGTGACTCCGGGAGGAACTGGCCACCCTGCTCATACTGGATGTGGGTGATCTGACCATCCTGCACCTGGGGATAAACCGTGAGGCTGTGGTAGGGTCTGAGGGTGTCCAGGCCCCCAACAATGCTGTGAACCAGAGTAAGCAAGAGGGAGCAGGAGGGGACCCAGCCTCACACATGACACCCCATGAGCCCCACCGACCATGTGATGGGAGCAGATAGTCTGAAGCTCACCTGGATGTGATGTCCCTCCGGGACAACAACATACTCTTGGGGAAGCAAGTGTGGGACACCTTCCTGGGCAATAATGTACTGAACCTGCAAACATGGGAATTCAGACCTAGAAAAAATGTCACCACTTCCCACCCGCCATCACAACAGCTGGATCTGGTCTGTCTCCTGTGCCTCTTTCTACCACCCCAGTGCCTTCAGCTCTGCCTGTGGAGCCCTGCTCTCTCCCACTGCTGCCAGCTCTTCCCACTAGAGTCTCCCATCCGTGGGCCATGTCCCCTCACCTGGTTGTCAGCAGTCACTAAGTGCTGTACTGTCTGTCCATCAGCAGTCGTGATCTCCTGGATGTAGGCTGCCTCCTCCTGCAGTGTCAGCAAATTCCCAATGTGGTTAGGGGGGCTGGACCTGACCACAGCCCCCCAGGAGGCCCCCACTGTGAGGAGCAGCCACACAGGACATGAGCTGAGGCCAAGGGACCCAACTCACCTGGCTGGTGACGCTCTGCTCCTGTGCAACAAGGATGTGCTCCTGCCCCAGGGCCTGCTGCAGCCGCTCAGGAGCCAGCACAGCCTGGCCAGCCTG